AAAGCATCTACCAAATGCATAACTGTATCACTGCTGTATTACTCTCTCAGACACATTTACATTGATGCACGAGCAGGTGCTTTTATCCAAATTGCATTCAAGGTTTACACAGCTAACAAAAATATTAGAAAATGCTATTTCTGAATGTTCACTGAACGTTCAAAATGTTTCATTTTTTTATGTTTTCATTTTCATTAAGGGAGCGTTACTTTTGAACATTCTGAAACAAGTGTAACATTTTTTTTGTAAATGTTAGATGAATGTCCAACTAAAATGTTTAAGAAATAAAAACGATGTATAACTAATGTTTTTGTGCTATCATTTTGAGAACATTATTAAAGACCAGATAACTCTGAATGAACGTTCTATTAGTGTTACTTTTATTCAGAAGTTTGAGAGAACCTTGTTAGAACATTCTGAGAATGCTTCCTGTTAGCTGGGAATATTATCATGCTTTCTCTGGGAACTGATCCCATGACCTCAGTGTTGCTAGCGCCATGACCTGCTGTTTGAGAGAGGAGAGCGCTGGAGATCTTCTCTGTGACGTGAACAGGCCTGAAGAGTTTGAGATCAAGGTATGCTCTAGTTTTGAGCAGCTTTACTAATGTGGTGAACGTTTAGCTCCAGTCAGATCTACAGGGGGTTTCTCGCTCTGTTTTAGAGGCCTTGACGAGATTCTAGAGAAAACACCAGGACTGAGTTCACAGCGCTCCAAAACCTCAATACGAGACGTGAAAGAGTCTTTCACACACTCACACTATACACTGTGTGTGTGTGTGTGTGTGTGTGTGAGTGAGTGAGTGTGTGTGTGTGTGTGTGCGAGTGTGTGTGTGTGTGTGTGCGAGTGTGTGTGTGTGTGTGTGCGAGTGTGTGTGTGTGTGTGTGCGAGTGTGTGTGTGTGTGTGTGCGAGTGTGTGTGTGTGTGTGTGCGAGTGTGTGTGTGTGTGTGTGCGAGTGTGTGTGTGTGTGTGTGCGAGTGTGTGTGTGTGTGTGTGCGAGTGTGTGTGTGTGTGTGTGCGAGTGTGTGTGTGTGTGTGTGCGAGTGTGTGTGTGTGTGTGTGCGAGTGTGTGTGTGTGTGTGTGCGAGTGTGTGTGTGTGTGTGTGCGAGTGTGTGTGTGTGTGTGTGCGAGTGTGTGTGTGTGTGTGTGCGAGTGTGTGTGTGTGTGTGTGCGAGTGTGTGTGTGTGTGTGTGCGAGTGTGTGTGTGTGTGTGTGCGAGTGTGTGTGTGTGTGTGTGCGAGTGTGTGTGTGTGTGTGTGCGAGTGTGTGTGTGTGTGTGTGCGAGTGTGTGTGTGTGTGTGTGCGAGTGTGTGTGTGTGTGTGTGCGAGTGTGTGTGTGTGTGTGTGCGAGTGTGTGTGTGTGTGTGTGCGAGTGTGTGTGTGTGTGTGTGCGAGTGTGTGTGTGTGTGTGTGCGAGTGTGTGTGTGTGTGTGTGCGAGTGTGTGTGTGTGTGTGTGCGAGTGTGTGTGTGTGTGTGTGCGAGTGTGTGTGTGTGTGTGTGCGAGTGTGTGTGTGTGTGTGTGCGAGTGTGTGTGTGTGTGTGTGCGAGTGTGTGTGTGTGTGTGTGCGAGTGTGTGTGTGTGTGTGTGCGAGTGTGTGTGTGTGTGTGTGCGAGTGTGTGTGTGTGTGTGTGCGAGTGTGTGTGTGTGTGTGTGCGAGTGTGTGTGTGTGTGTGTGCGAGTGTGTGTGTGTGTGTGTGCGAGTGTGTGTGTGTGTGTGTGCGAGTGTGTGTGTGTGTGTGTGCGAGTGTGTGTGTGTGTGTGTGCGAGTGTGTGTGTGTGTGTGTGCGAGTGTGTGTGTGTGTGTGTGCGAGTGTGTGTGTGTGTGTGTGCGAGTGTGTGTGTGTGTGTGTGCGAGTGTGTGTGTGTGTGTGTGCGAGTGTGTGTGTGTGTGTGTGCGAGTGTGTGTGTGTGTGTGTGCGAGTGTGTGTGTGTGTGTGTGCGAGTGTGTGTGTGTGTGTGTGCGAGTGTGTGTGTGTGTGTGTGCGAGTGTGTGTGTGTGTGTGTGCGAGTGTGTGTGTGTGTGTGTGCGAGTGTGTGTGTGTGTGTGTGCGAGTGTGTGTGTGTGTGTGTGCGAGTGTGTGTGTGTGTGTGTGCGAGTGTGTGTGTGTGTGTGTGCGAGTGTGTGTGTGTGTGTGTGCGAGTGTGTGTGTGTGTGTGTGCGAGTGTGTGTGTGTGTGTGTGCGAGTGTGTGTGTGTGTGTGTGCGAGTGTGTGTGTGTGTGTGTGTGTGTGTGAGTGAGTGAGTGTCTGAGATTGTGTGTGTGAGAGTTTGTGTGTGTGTGTGTGTGTGTGTGTGTGTCTGTGTTTAGGCCCTGCAGATTAAATACTCTAAGCTTCTTATGTGGTGGTTGTGTCCTTAATTTCAGTCAGCGCTGGGTCCTAGTGCCACACCATCAGAAGAAAAGAAAAATTCCAAAACAACAAACCGTAGACAGACAGTCTCTAACACAAGTGACTCTTTTAATTACATTAAAATAATGAATATTGTGGTACTTCCAAAAAGCGTTTTAACTTAAACTTAAACAATACACTTTGTCAAGAATTTGACCAAATCTATTTGTTTTTGTCCTTTTAATTGGCTAAACATATACTTAAATTGGTTAAAATATGTAAATAATAGTAAATTAACATAAACAAATTAAAATATTTACATGCATCAAATTATTTTCTGTAAAAAAAAAAAGTTTTTACTTTTTTGCATTTCTAAAGAAAGGGGTGAATATAGATTAAAAGGGAGAAGTTTTCAGAAAGTGCTGATATCTCACTGTGAATAGTTTACTCAATGAATGCAATATTATAATGCAAGATATACACAGTCATTCACAGTCACATTATTCATACACCGTCACGATATACACACATTCATTGAAGCAGTGAACAGGTGTTTCCCCACAAATGAAAAGTTTGACTCACCAACTTCCCAACAGACACGACGAGAATCCAGAATCCCAATTCTGCCTGTGATGATGATGAAGATGATGATGATGAAGATGATGATTATGAAGATGATGAAGATGATGATGATGATGAAGATGTATCCGCCGGCTCGAGACGCGGCCTGAACATCTGAAACAGATATGAGAGATATGAAAGGTCTGAACAGAGGCTGTTATACTGTCTGTGTCTCTTTATATCTGCAGATAAACCCCTTATAGAGTTTCTGTGGATTTGAAACTAGAAGAAATCCGATTCAATTAACAAGCGCAGAATCCGCTTTACACGCGCTCATTAACATCCTCACAATCATACGACAAAACTATTATCATACAGCGCTTAGACAGACACGTCTCAGGTCATTGATCGTCGATTTGAGATGATGCACGCACTCTTTTCCTATTTATTTGGACTTGTATTTCTCTTTTACACTGAATGAACCTCTGTGCCAAATCTGAGTCCAAATCGTAAGGTTTTTCCTCATTTATGCAAATGTTTCATACACCGGCAGAGAGAACAAGCCCAGATCACTGAAATGAACGCAATCATTAAACAGCGAAAAGCTCGTTAAATAAAGATTCTTTATTTGGCATCTATCGTTCCGTAACGAAGCTTTAACATGCATGTGTTTAGTGGAGGAAAGCTCTTTAGATTTTTCTGCTGTACGTATTCTTAAGAACCTTTCCATTTCTTTACAAAATGTTTGTCAAGCTCAAAAGTAAAGGTTCTTTATTGGCATCTATGGTTCCACGGAGAACATTTAACATGCATGGGATATATTCATTTCACAAAACATGTGGGAAAATTTTCCATAAGTTCCAGTCATAAGCAGCACAGGGATATTTGTAGCAATAGCCAACAATGCATTGTTCGCACTTTTACTATAAATATAAAAACAAAATCTGCTGCTCTGACTTTTTGTTTAGTTTTATTAATATTATTACGTTATGTAGAGTTATTTATTGTATGTTATTTATGTTATGTTTATGATTTACACTCCTTTTCCTTACTTCGAATGAGAAAAAAGTATTTTGTGTATTGCTCAGCCCATTTATTAAAGATATTTAATTCTATCACGAGTAAATCTATAAAATATTACGTTTGTAGATAATGCTTATATAACGAACATTATATTCCATTTTCATTTCTTTTTTTCGTTAAAAATCGAATTTTAGGTCAAGAAACAAATATCTAATAAGCTTTTGAAATATGAAAATGAGAATGATGAACTATAAGCTCAGGGGTGAATATTCACATCGACAGTTTCAATCCATTTTTAAACGCGACAAACACATTTTGGATTAATATTCATATAATCGCACATTTCAAATCACGGTGATTTTTTTCGTGAAAGTCTATTAGTTTGACTGTTTTGACGAGGGTTTATTAGCCAAATGCGAAGTAATGATCTTTGTAAACACGGATGAATATCATAATCAGCGCTGCTGATTGGGCTCAGTAATGCGCGTCTCACATATATTAGTTAATCAATGAATTCCTTTATTAGTCCACAGAGATATAAGACTATTTGAAGAAATTAAGCAAACGTGTCATTAAATATCAGGTTTATGGAAGTAAAAACCACATCTAATTTACATAAATTCATGCTTTTACGTGTGGATTAATACAAATAAACGATTATATATTTTAACATATTTTGGATGGATGGATGGATAGATAGATGATGGATGGATAGATAGATAGATAGATAGATAGATAGATAGATACTGTAGATGTTGTGTAGATAGATAGATAGATAGATAGATAGATAGATAGATGGATAGATAGATGGATACTGTAGATGTTGTGTAGATAGATAGATAGATAGATAGACAGATAGATAGATAGATACTGTAGATGTTGTGTAGATAGATAGATAGATAGATAGATAGACACTGTAGATGTTGTGTAGATAGATAGATAGATAGATAGATACTGTAGATGTTGTGTAGATAGATAGATAGATAGATTGGATGGATGGATGGATGGATGGATGGATGGATGGGTGGATGGGTGGATGGATGGATGGATGGATGGATGGATGGATGGATGGGTGGATGGATGGATGGATGGATGGATGGATGGATAGATGCACATGAAAGACTATCTGTGTTTGTGTGGTTTATCATCAGACACTCCACGGAAGCAGCGGCGCGAGAGAACCACCTTCACGCGCGCGCAGCTCGACATCCTTGAGTCACTGTTCGCCAAGACACGATACCCAGACATCTTCATGAGAGAGGACGTAGCTCTCAAGATCAACCTGCCCGAGTCCAGAGTCCAGGTGAGTCCTGCAGAGCCCAGAGACACCTGACTGCTCGAGAACATCAGCAGGTCCAGGTTTGCATGGTTATCTTCATCTAAACCCCTGATGATGATGATGATGATGATGATGATGATGATGATGATGATGATGCATCTATGCAACCTTCAACATCCATGGGACTATTTCAATGCACAAAAGGTTGTTTATAGTCATTATTCAGGGTAGAGCTATATTTAATTATCTGTCGAGGTCTACAGTAGAAAATATACTTCTCATTATTAAAATGTTATATATATATAACATTTTAGAAAGATTTTTGGGGATTTATATTATATTATATAAATTATTTTATATTATATTATTTGTTATACAAAGCTATTTTAGTTTTTGTTAATATTTTGATTAGATTTTATTTTTAAAATTTCTGCTTTCATTTTAATTTTAGTTAAAGTTTTGATAATTTTGTTGTCTGTTTTTGTCATTTTTAGTAGTTTGTGTTGTTTTTAAATATGTCTATATAGTTTTTATACATTTTAGTCATTTTAAGTTTTAGTTAGTTCAGTACATCAAGTTAAACTAAATAAAACTTTGATAAACTTTGATAACTTTTTATGTTATTTTATTATGATTAACATTTTTTCCCCGTATTTTCTTTCTTTTTTTTAGTTTTAGTTAATAAGTTATGGTACAACCCTGATATAAATCAGAAAAATTAATTATAAAAGCAAAGCAATGATGGCAGCACTAGGCCTTTCCTTGATTTATTTTATTGTTGTATTTTGTTTTTTTATTTTATTTCTGTTACATATGGATTCTTTTCTGTGAATGCACATTTAAATGGTGGTGCTACAGTATATGTGACCCTGGATCACAAAACCAGTCATAAATTGAGATAAATAAGCTTTCCATTGATGTATGGTTTATTAGGATCGGACAATATTTGGCTGAGATACAACTATTTGAAAATCTGGAATCTGAGGGTGCAAAAAAATCTGTTGGCTATTGCTACAAATATACCCCAGCGACTTAAGACTGCTTTTGTGCTGCAGGGACACATGTACAGTATATAAAGTTTTACTCACATCCTGCATGCACCAGTCGGCTACTGGAACGGGATACTGACAGACGTCCCGTCTGTGTTTTGCAGGTGTGGTTTAAGAACCGTCGTGCGAAGTGCCGTCAACAGCAGCAGCAACAGACCAGCGGCCAGACCAAACCCAGACCGCCGAAGAAGAAGTCGTCTCCGGCCCAAGAGCCCAGCGTCAGCGAGCCCAGCACCAGCACCAATGGCCCCTACAGCCCTCCGCCTCCTCCGGCCCCGAGCTCCAGCTCCACCAGCGCCACCGTGTCCATCTGGAGCCCGGCCTCCATCTCTCCGCTTCAGGACCCGCTGTCGGTCTCCAGCACGCCCTGCCTGCAGCGCTCCAGTGCCTACCCCATGACCTACACCCAGGCCCCGGCCTACGGGCAGAGCTACGCCGCCTCCTCGTCCTACTTCACCGGGCTGGACTGCAGCTCGTATCTGTCCCCCATGCACCCGCAGCTGTCGGCCACAGGGGGCGCTCTCAGCCCCATGGGTGCAGCGCTCAGCCAGTCGCCCGCCTCGCTCTCGTCGCAGGGCTACACGGCCGCTTCGCTGGGCTTCGGCGCCGTCGACTGCTTAGACTACAAAGACCAAACGGCCTGGAAGCTCAACTTCAACGCTGCGGACTGCCTGGACTACAAGGACCAGAACTCCTGGAAGTTCCAGGTCCTGTAGAGCATCTAGAATAAGCTTCGCTGCACTTCTAAAAGGCTCCAAAGTGGGGAGGTTTTAGCAGCGATGCCATAAATGGACCATTTTTGGTTCCCCAAAGAACCTTTGTGTGAAAAGTGTAAAGAATCTGCTGAAAACAATTTGAAATCCTCAGTGTCGGGGGTAGCGCATTACAAGTAACGCGAGTTACGTAATCAGATTACTTTTTTCCAAGTAACTAGTAAAGTAATGCATTACTTTTTAATTTACAATGAAATGTCGGAGTTACTTTTTCAAATAAGAGTTACTTTGTTTTCCGTCAGCTTGAGGCTTATTAATATCACTTTTGGTATGAAAGGGCCTTTAGAGTTGGCAAAAATATATCTTTTGTGTTTTTTGTTACTAAAAAAACAAATAAGCAAGCCCAGCCAAAAAGTAACTCAAAAGAAACGCATTTCCATAAAAAGTAACTTACGCAATTAGTTACTTTTCTCATGGAGTATAGCAATATTGTAATGGATTACTTTTAAAAGTAACTTTCCCCAACACTCATATATAACTTGTAATGGTTTTAATGGTTAAAATGGGAATTGTATTGGTTTTAATGGAAACTGTAATGGTCGCCTACTGGTAATTTGTTGCCTTGTATTAGTGGCGTGTTTAAAACACTGAATACTGATGGAATTTGGCCCAAAACTCACTACTTTCAAAAATAAAGGTCCAAAATGGGTTTTATTTGCAGTGATGGCATAGAAGAACCATTTTTGGTTCCCCAAAGAGCCTTTCAGTGAAGAGTTATTAAAATAAAAAAATGTTCTTAGTGTGAGGAGCATTTTAATCATCTAAAGAAACTTTTTTCACTATAAGGAACCTTTTGTAGAATGGAAAGGTTCCATGGATGTTGAAGGTTCTTCATGGAGCCATTGATGAAGAACCTTTATTTTCATGAATGTGGATCACATAATGCCCATATTCTGAACCATTTGGACGACATGGATAAACGTACAGCTGATGGTCCAGTGTAGATGGAGATGTTTCTTACTGTCTGTCTTGATTATTTATGAATAGCACTGAATGACGTGTAGCTGGTAGATGATAGAGAAATGAACACCGCTCAAATGTTTAGTGCAGTGAAACAGTGATATACACCTCAACACGGTTCGATGACAATCATCATCTGAACTGCTAAAGTCTTGTTGTTCTAGGAGGTGTATCATTAGGCTAGATGATGTTTCAGCGTTCAGAATCCCAAATGTTTGTCTATAAGCTGCTTTTGAAACTGAAGAACGAACCTGAGACTCAGAGACTCCAGGAGCAAAGCATGCTGGGATTCCAGTATAAGTCACATGACACGTGAACTCTAGCGCTCACTAGAGCTGAAGATGTTTCGTTTATGTTTTATATGTTTTCTTAATTGATATTATGATTGGATCAAGCATCTGTTGTTTCTTCTACAGTTGTTCTAAAACTGTGACACATTCAGTATTTCCTGTCATTTCCACGGCTGTGATTCTGAAACGTCAAGCTGTACTTGAATGAATCATGTGTCGAGTTGCATGGAATTGAACAACAGAATCTCTCAGTCTTGACGTTTAGATGCTGCCAACAATCAGCGTTTGTTTTCTTGTCAATCTCAGGGGTTTCTGACGCTCACAGACGCAGAGCTTTCATCGGCTCATTATGCTCGTTTGTAAATCAGCGCTCTTTTCTGATGTTAGATTCTGTCTTTGTTTGTAATGTCCTGCTTTTCATTGTGTTTGCATTTAGAGTCTTGTAGTTTTGAGACTTTTAATGAATTATAAATAAATAATTTCTTTCCATAAATACAAGACAGGTTGGTTTTGCTGATTTAGTATAGAATTTTGGAGAAAAAAAATTGTAGTATATCTTTAGTGTATATATATATATACATATAACTCTATGTCATTCTATTTTGTTATATATTTTGACACCACAATCAATGCAGAGAGAGAAGAAATAAATAAGTAAATGAATGAATGGTATTAAAATGGTAAAATATCTTGCTGGTCTTAAAATAAGCTTTATTTTCCTGATTCTCAGTTGTTTCTTTTGATTTTTGAATAAAATATGAGCTGGACATGTTTTTTATTTCACCGAATGAAAACACACACACACACACATTGTAATTAAAATTAAACCGTGTTTGTCCATCATGTGTTGTGCTGTGTGTTGTGTAACTTTAAGAAAGAGATGCAAAAAGAAACGAGAGATGGAGGGAAGGGTCACAGGAGTGAGTGTGTGTGTGTGTGTGTGTGTTTGTTGTATAATCTGGATGGACGGAGCATATGGCTCAGAGACTCTCAGGACTTAAAATATGATTCATTTCTTTCCCTCTAATCCACACAGACACATCAGAACAGAGTTCCTCCAATTTCCCTTTAATCGATTCCTAATCCCAATGCAGAGAGAGAAGAAATAAATAAGTAAATGAATGAATGGTATTAAAATGGTAAAATATCTTGCTGGTCTTAAAATAAGCTTTATTTTCCTGATTCTCAGTTGTTTCTTTTGATTTTTGAATAAAATATGAGCTGGACATGTTTTTTATTTCACCGAATGAAAACACACACACACACACATTGTAATTAAAATTAAACCGTGTTTGTCCATCATGTGTTGTGCTGTGTGTTGTGTAACTTTAAGAAAGAGATGCAAAAAGAAACGAGAGATGGAGGGAAGGGTCACAGGAGTGAGTGTGTGTGTGTGTGTGTGTGTTTGTTGTATAATCTGGATGGACGGAGCATATGGCTCAGAGACTCTCAGGACTTAAAATATGATTCATTTCTTTCCCTCTAATCCACACAGACACATCAGAACAGAGTTCCTCCAATTTCCCTTTAATCGATTCCTAATCCCACACACACTCACACACACACACACACACACACACACACACACACTTCTGTTGACACACATTACTGTTTTCAGAAACAAATACTTATTAAAATTCATCCATCTTTATATACAGATATAAACACATATTAAGACTAATTTACCTGCAGCTTGATTTGAAGAAATGAACCTGAATGTGACCTTCATCATCATCATCATCGAAGAGTCGCGTCTCATCTCTGAAACACAAACTATCTGAAGTGAATATTAGACATAGAAAGACACACACACACACACACACACACACACACACACACACTTCTGTTGACACACATTACTGTTTTCAAGAACAAATACTTATTAAAATTCATCCATCTTTAAAAACAGATATAAACACATATTAAGACTAATTTACCTGCAGCTTGATTTGAAGAAATGAACCTGAATGTGACCTTCATCATCATCATCATCGAAGAGTCGCGTCTCATCTCTGAAACACAAACTATCTGAAGTGAATATTAGACATAGAAAGAATATATAACACTTTCAGTCTCAAAGGTTCTTTGTGGCAAAAGAAGGTTCTTCAGATTATTAAAAGGTCAGAAAGTGTTGGTTCTTTAAAGAATCTTTGACTGAATGGTTCTTTGTGGAACGAAAAATGGTTTCTATAGCATCTCTGTGAAGAACCTTTATTTTTAAGAGTGTATCTATCTATCTATCATAAATCATCTATCTATCTATCTATCTATCTATCTATCTATCTATCATCTATCTATCTATCTATCTATCTATCTATCTAGCATCTATCTATCTATCATCTATCTATCTATCTATCTATCTATCTATCATCTATCTATCTATCTATCTATCTATCTGTCTGTCTGTCTGTCTGTCTATATATCTATCTATCTATCTGTCTGTCTATCTATCTGTATGTCTGACTATCTGTCTGAATATCTATCTATCCATCATCTATCTGTCTGTCTGTCTGTCTGTCTATATATCTATCTATCTATCTATCTATCTATCTATCCATCTATATATCTATCTATCTATCTATCTATCTATC